TCATTTGCCACTAGTGCATAATTGCAAACTGCACATCTGAAAGTCTGTCATGTCACTGATGTAAGTAGAAATGCTATCAAGTTAACTTCATTAGTTTATTAGTTTGTAAGAGAGCAGTGTTTCAATTCAATATGTCTGTGAAAAAAATACCACTGAGCTCGTATATGCAAACAATGACAGTATGAATCTTTAAATCACCAATTCCCAATAGGCCTATGCTGTCCAAAAAAAAGTTCCTTCAGAAATAAATCCTTACATTTAAAGAGCAGATACCAACCAACATGTTTGCATTCATCAGACTTGGTTGAATGAATTCTGAAAATAATGAGTAACAAAGTTGCACAATATTTAACAGAAAGGCAATTACACAGTGTATCTTTCAGCGGTGCTAAAAGTATCTAATTTGTAACCGATGAGTTTTAGCTAACAAACAAATGTTTGTTTGTAGACGTTTGGAAAGCACAGCTTCTTACAATTGTTTAAACCTACTTTAACTCGACGCCTTGATACAATTCCAAAACTTGAAGTCTATGTTTTAAAAAATACTATGTTAATTATAACTAACTGTATCTTACCCATACTGTGACCCGTTTTTAGGCCTTGACGACTACTAACATTGATTTATTCGGTCTCCTGACACAGAAAACCGGCAGGTAAGTTCGTTGTCGATTCATTGTACACTTCACAAGCATTGGATAATAATATTTTGTGGGTTTCATACAATATATTCAACTGTATCACTGTTTTATGTCAACCCAAGTAAGATCGTTACTGATAGGAACCTTTCTTCGCAGTTACATCGAGTTTTTGGCGGGAATGATTTCACCGACGCACACTAAATGAACTTTCACCCCGCCTTATTGTTTTGATTAACAGGTTGTCTTTTCGCGTGAATTGAAGCAAGCACCTCGGGTGAAAAACCTCATAAAACAAGTGGCACTCATTGGGATTTACTGAAACGCGTACAGTCTGTGTTAATAATGACCGTGTCGACTTGATAGCGGCACTGTTGTTGACAAAGATGCTTTTCTCTCAAAGATAAGCTAACGTTAGCTGTCTGGTAGCGTATCTTTGGTATCAACATGACGGTGATGGGGAGCGGTGTGTAGGAGCGACCCACCAGACATTGGATCGCCCCGATTTCCTGCTTGTCAATCACACATCTCCAGGATTATCATGTCTGTATGTCTGGATACAGTCGACACGGCTTTCTAAACCAAAAGAAACAAAACTGCCTTCATCTAACCAAGATATCTGCATGTGGTCTTTAAAATTCAGCTATTGTGATACTGTGACTTTTTCAAATAACGTCTTAGCTACATTTTTCGGACCTCATGCCAATTCACTTCCGATCTTCAGTAATTAAAGTCAATACGTGTTTGTAGTGTTGGGTATTTTCATCACTTTCTTTCAATGGGCGAAGAAAAGCCAGACACGCTTGACTTTGTGAAGGATTTCCAGGAGTATCTGAGCCAGCAGACCCAGCATGTCAACATGATATCAGGCTCTGTCAGCGGCGTCAAGGAGGCGGACGAGCTGCCACCAGGTAACCAGATATGTCTTTTATTGTTAACATTTTTGCAATATTCAGCAGTATTATTCGTCTGGATTTGGTGGTATTTGATACAGTTGTATCTAGACCAGCAGCTGACAGATGCGCCTATACGTATTATGTGATATCTGACTTCAAATATCTAGTTATCAGGCATGGTCATCTACATATTCCTTCAATAAGTCTGTGATAAATCGGTGTTTCAATGCATTAATGCACAAATGTTACTAAAGTATAATACGATATGTTATTTTACAACCAACAGGAGTGATAGCTGTAGGATTGAGTCTAAAGCAGTTATAGAGGTCATAAAAAAAAAAGAATTCCATCCTAAATATTTTTTCAGTAGATAGTTGAATATAATTAGATGTTGTAAGGGGTGACATTTCATTTTTATAAAAGATCCTGCTTATGTTCTTGTGCAGACTGCGGTCAGAATGGACTGGATCACCCCTCAGTGGACATGTCTCTGGAGGACAGCTCAGGGATCCTAGTGGATGGTTTTGAGAGGACCTATGATGGCAAGCTCAAGTGCCGCTACTGCAACTATGCTACCAGAGGCACAGCGAGACTCATTGAGCACATCCGAATTCACACGGGTAAGTGATGATACTTTAGTTTCAGGGAATGTCATTGACATTGTTTTGTTATTAAGTCTGTTTTCCTCTTTCAAACAGGAGAGAAACCTCATCGCTGCCATCTCTGCCCATTTGCTTCGGCCTATGAGCGCCACCTAGAGGCCCACATGCGATCTCACACGGGCGAGAAGCCTTATAAGTGTGAGCTGTGCTCTTTCCGCTGCAGTGACCGTAGCAACCTGTCGCACCATCGCCGTCGACGCCACAAACTGCTGCCAATGAAAGGTGCGCGCTCACTCTCCCACAAGAAGATGCTGAGTGTTTTACAGAAGAAAGCCAGCTCACTGGGCTATGGCCGCCGGCTCCTCATCAACTTCAGCCCCCCTTCTATGGTGGTGCACAAAGCTGACAATGTGAACGACTTCTCCCATGAGCTGCCCCACTTACGCCAAGAGTCGTATGATAATCAGGGTCGCACAATCGACGATGGGCACTCCACAAATCACCATCACCAAGACATGGTTATGGAAAACCCTCTGAATCAGCTGTCCACCCTGGCAGGCCAGTTGGCGAGTCTCCCTTCAGAGTCCCAGGCCCAGAATCAACCCCCCATGTCTCCAGGAGCAGAGTCTATCGTCGATGAGAAGCCTTTCCTCATCCAGCAGCCCCACCCTGCCACAGCTCCTGTAGCTGTCTCAGCCAGCATGGCCCACGCCTCCTGCTCGTCCCCAATCACCCCAGAGCCCAGGGCCCCCCCCCACATCACCTGCAGCCCTGGGAGGGGACCCTGCAGCGAGCACAGTGGGCGCACCAGTACCCCCAGTGTCTCCAACAGCCAACCCAGTACGCCGGCCCCAGGCCTGTCTGTCCCACTCCAGGACCTCCACATGCTGCATCACTGCCAGCACTGTGACATCTACTTTCCCGACAACATCCTTTACACTATCCACATGGGCTGCCACGGCTACGAGAAACCATTCCAGTGCAACATCTGCGGCCACAAGAGCAAGAGCAAGTATGACTTCGCCTGCCACTTTGCCCGCGGGCAGCACAAGTGATGGAACAAAAAAAAACTTTTATTGGACAGCCTTGTTTTATTAAATCCATAGTTATATTATTTATTGGTCTTTGACTTGGCCTTGATGTAGCCTAGCCTTTGAAAGTTGTACTTATAAAATGGCAACATTCAGATTGTATACCTGTAGGTGCCCATTCAAGTGTATTATGAGGGGATGATCAGTGTTTTCCACTGGTTGAGAATGTATTTGTAGTAAAGGAGGGATTTACATTTACACACTGTTGTAAATCAGAAAAAAAGATTCTCTATTTAGCTGAACTAATTCATCATATTTTATGTAATAGATGACCAAATTCCTAATACATGTGAAAAGAAATTGCCTTTTGAGTTTTTTAAATGCATAACTTGTGTGACCTTTCACATATGTAATTCCAATGCAATACCATGCAACACTATGGTAGCTGACATAAAAAGCCTTATGAATTACCTTAGAAAAATGGTCAACATGTTCCAGGTTTGGGATTTAGAGTAAAATGGCTAAAACACGGACCGAATACAGGTGTGATCTTTTCGGTATAGGAAAAGATATCACACATGAAATTGGCTTCCACTTTTAACAGCATGTCCCTTTTAGCTAAATAAAAATACATTCTCAACCCTACTGGAGCTATTTCTAAAGGTTGATTATTGACACAGCAGTGAACCTATTGGCCTTGAGTTATCAAAAAATTATTTCATTATATAGTGCATTACTTCTATTTCTTTGCAGTGCCTGACATAGTCACCTTAATTGGTCCAAGATATAAAGGACTGTTACTTCTTTACATATTAATAGATATTATTACAATATCCTGTTTCTACTTAACGTAAAGGGCCTGGAACCTTAGAAAATAGTTTGGGCCTTTGTAGTTATTTTTTGGTAGCCATGATTTTTTTTGCCAAAATCCTGCTCCAAGATTGCTGCTAAGAAACGTTGGAATATATGTATGGCATTCACAGTAAATGATGGCCAACGTTTGTAACTGTGGTTTGTGATCTGACTGTCAAACTACATGTTGTAGACGTCGGGAGTTCCTTCACACACAGTGCCCTTCCTTGACCAGCATCATGGTCACAATCACTTGTTTTTGTTTAAATGGTTTGGTATATCTTTTTAAATCACATCCTGTCACATTCTGATGTTTTGATATTGTATGAAGTCACTTTAATATCCAGTGTTTAGGACAGAATCACCAAGTCTTGTGTCTCATGTGAACACGTTTTCAGAATTGCCACGTAGCACAGGGGTTGCCAAGTTTTAGCCTTTGTGATAAGACAAAGATTCCCCATCTATCATACGGATCCTTTAAAGTGCTTTTCTGAATATTTACTGAGTATTGTATTCTGAGTCGGTGGGTAGATGTTTAGTGTCCAAAAAAGCAAATGTTGCAGTGAGACTGCTACATCAGCAAGATTATTCTTTGTCTTGGGTACTGTTGTTTGTTGCTTAGCAACATGCGGGAAGAACATAGTTACTGTTTCTAGGACCACCTCCTTGTTGCCATGCTTACCAGTACTGGGAGCATCCAGTAATGACTGCCTTATGTTCTCTGTGTCATAGGTTCATAGGTAACAGTGGATGGCGATCATTCTCCCCCTCTGGATGGCAAATCATTTCATTGTGAGATGGATTAATCTTACTAATTTATAAGTAAAGTGTTTTCTAATTTACTGCACTGTGTCTTCTGTCATCCTTTTTCTTCATCTTATTTGTGTTCAAGTACGGAAATTAATAACAGTGATATTTTTATCATGGGTTTAAATATTTAAAGTTCACTTGAGAGTATGTCATGATGAAATATACAAACACATATTGTCTTTTGAGGATGCTTTTAATCAGTTAATGATGAAAGGAAAGAAGTGCTGATTCATTGTCACAATGAACAAAAAGAACAGTGAAGATGATTGAAGCCGCAGAATCAAGTTAAGCCTTCTCCTGCTTAGGAGTCTCTTCCTCCTGTTTCTCTGGTTCTGTCAAAGAGAAAGTGACTTGTGTTTTATTGTACAGTTTTCTTAAGGTTATGACATCCCAACCAAAACCAAGTAGATGACTACATACCTTTGAGTTGGATGGGACCCAGGACCAGAGTTTGGCTGTCGTGTTTTGACCCCACGTCTCTGGCGGCGCGGTTGTAGCATCCACGGCGGCAGCGGGAATTGTTGTCAGAGGCGAGGCATATCAGGACCTTGCACTGGATGTACACCGACTCTGTGGCTCGCAGGAATTGGAAGGCCTGAAATCTGAAGCGGGCATAGGGATGGGTGCCACTGACGTAGGCATAGTAGGTGTTATCCACAGGACAGCTAAAGGAGAAACAGACAGTGTTACTGGAGAATATTACTATGTCCGGTTATCAGAAAAAGCTAGGTCCGGTAAGTATTTCTATATTTTAATACTTAACTGATTAAAGAAAATATTAGATTCTATATCAAATAGACCAGTCACACAATTCAAAAATATTCCATTGCAAGAAAAGTCCTACATTCAGAATTGTACTTATGTTTACTGTTTGTATAAAAATCTACTCATTCTGCAAACAATGGACATATCAAGTGTTACATGTTACAATATTTCTGTCAGAAATGTATAAGAAAAGTACATCAAAGAAAAATAATTTACTAATTGTGTTCTGTAACTTTCCATTACTGATGTTTGATGTACTTCACTTGATTTTCAAATGTCACAAATCACACAGCTCTGCCTGTACTTTGAACAAAGTGCAGGTTTTACTCAATCTTCACTGAAACACAGCATACTGTCATCTCACCCATTGCGGACCAGGTAGTGAGATCTGTTCTGGAAATCATGGGGCGATGGTGAGGTCACACAGGTGTCCAGATAGAGGACCAGGGAGCTGTCCCCCCTCCCCAGGTCCACTTGGACATACATGTACTGGTTGAGCGTCACCATGTATGGAACCTCCGTCACCTAAGAGTGTAAAAGCAAAACGTCAGATTTGTAACTAGGTATTTACAGAAGGAATTTCATTTATTTTAACACACCTGATGGTAGAAGTTATTGGATGTGTAGAGCGCCATGCTGGTATTGAATCTGCCTGTTCCGGTAATGCTGCTGTTATCATTGTGACGGACAACGTACATGATCTGGGACACTGAATCCGGCTCCATCCGACAGCCCACGTTCATCTTAAAGTGAGACTGGCGGGTGATCTCGCCAGAGGTGGAGGCGTAGGCTCGGAGAGAGTTGGTGTACACAATGCTGCCATTCTCAAACTGGTAAACAGAAGATATTGGAAAAGAGCCTCTAATTATGACAGTTATTTGAGTCAGGAAGTAATGTATGTTGTTCATTTTTAAGTAAGCAACTGAGCCTAAGTTGTGTACCTTTCGAACATTGCCACAGGTGTTAATGGGGAAGTTGAAGACCACCTGGTAACTGGAAACCTGGGGTCTGCAGTACTGGTCATTCAGATACAAACTCTGGCCGTCGTAGCCGAGAGAGTTGAGGTAACTCCTCTCGATCACAATGTTCATGTTGTCTGAGGAACAGTCCACTCGACCTGACAAAATAATCGTTTTCACAGGATATTTACGACAGTTTGAATTACTTTTACACATGGTTGGTTTATCCGCTGAAATATATGTAATACAATTAACAGGATTAGTATGAACTTTTGTGCAGATGTTCATGATCCCCAGAGGTTGAACCTTCTGACTGCAGTGATCCCCTCGTTCTTCCTGAGGTTCACATTTGTGGTTTAAAATAAAATGCATTAACATATACTGCACGGAATGCAATGAAAGTTGGTGCTTGTATTCATGTCCCCATCAAGATTAAATATAATAACTTTGGTCCTTTACTTTCCATATAGCGCCATCCTTAGGTGTACATTTAATTGTTTCCCATTCCTTTTTATTTGATAAAATACTGGTAATGACCTTAACATCAGATTCACTTGTATGTTGTAGCACCTTGTGTTATTTTAAACGAAGATGGTAAACCTGGTGTATATACTATATCATGCCAAAACCTTGCCATCTTTGTCAATCTACACGAAACATTTCACCCAAATATAATGTCATAATACATTTCTTTTTTTAAACGACCATAACAGTACCTGAGCTTGCTGGCAGAGAGCTAATGAAGTCAGCATTGAACCCTCGACCAACCACAGAGCCATCAGTCTGGAAGAGCACCGTCATGTAGTTGGAGGTGGAGTTGAAAGTACTCTGTTGTAGACTGTCGTAGCACACTTTACCCAGAAATCTTGAGTTAACAGACGGCCCATCGTAGACGTTAATATAGTCACAGCCGCAGCAGTTCTCCAATCTGTTTTTAAGATGACAGCCACAAATTATTGACTTGCATAATGAGTTGATGATAACACATTGAGTGCCAAATTCCCCACAAGTTAAATTAAGACAGAAAAGCTGCTAATATACGAATGTTCTCCAAAAGGGAGTGTTTTCTTCACTCACTGCAGGTAGTCGAACGACAGGAAGATTCGTTGGTCGTGTGCAGCACTGAGCTGCCACACACAGTAGGCGTTATTGTGGTAGCTGTTGGGATGGTTCGGGCTGGAGAAGGAACCAGAGCCGTACAGAGAGCCTCCACAGGGCGATGCTGACCGTGAAGAACATAACATAAGTGTCATTGGAGAAAACTATACAGTACAAGAGGCTTATGTTGCACACTAAGGGTCCTACCTGTAGTTGGCATGTAAGTTGTGACTTGGCAGTAGGCTGTTGACAAAAACAACGTGGGTTTCAGTTTTTGTGTAGAAACTGTACCAATTGTGTGGGACATGATACTTACAGTAGTAGTCATTACAACAGTTTCCATTCCAATCACAAGAGCTTGAATAGGTGCAGCTTCCCATGATATATTTTTTAAGTGGAGATTATTGTCATGTTTCTGTATGGACAGGCTAAAAAGGGTCATGTTCATGCCCTTGAGACTTTGAACACCAACAACTAATACCGTTGTTTTGTTGTTGAGTTTCAGGGTAATTGTTTTAGTCAGGGCTTTATTCAAAGAGTGGTAAAGCTGCAAGTATACTCAATCAGAAGGCTTGTCAGGTGGTGGAATAGCTGTAGAATTTAAATAGTTTTTTAGTACTTTCAAATAAATTTATACAGTTTTTCTCTTCCTTCATAGATTCCTGTTTTGCTTAAGGTACAGAAAGATCCCCCATGGTGTCCTACCCCAACATCCTGTTACTACAGGTAACACATCATATTAAAAGGAAATTATGCAAGTTTGTAATACAGTCGATTTATATGGAAACTTGGGATGACAATTCAGTAGCTTTGTGAATCTAGGCACTTACAATAGTAGTCGTAGCAGCAGTTGCCATTGTATTGACAAGAGCTTGAGCAGGAGCAGCTTCCCATGTGTTGGCCACAGTTGTAACGACACGAGGGCCGAGCTGTAGGAGAGACAGAGTGACGTTAACAGTACAGTATAAAGGAAATGTTACATATGAAATAGCTGAAGGTAAATGGGTAAAAGTGAGTAAAGAGGCGGCAGTAGCTCAGTCTGTAGGGTCTGGAGTGTGGACTGGTAGCTGGAGATAATAACTTTTGTAATAAAAGGCTGTCTTTCTTTTTCTTTCTTAGTAGCTTGAAGAGTTGTACATACGTGTCACGTAAGGGTCCTGGGTAGTGCTTGCAGGGCAGTAATCTAGATAGAGAGAAAGAGAGAGAATAACAAACTGTAATCTTTGTTTTACTGCATAATTCATTAGAAAACACCAGTGTTGTAAGAAGTAGTCATATATCGTACTTAAGTAAAGTAGAAATACTACAGTGAAGTTAAAGTCCTGCATATAAAATCTTACTTAAGTAAAAGTACAAAATCCAAAAGTATTTACTGTGTGTAGTAGTGTCCCGAATCATATATATTAAATTACTGGATTATTTGTGTTAATGCATTTACGTGTTAATCACAGCTGTTAAAGTGGAGCTACTTTCAGTTATTCTGCTGTTGGATATATGAACATATAATTATATATCATTTTTATATATTAGTTTATTTAAAGTTTGTTTTAGCCTGAATCTGAAAAGTAACTGATTTTGTCTAAATAAATGTGATGGAGTAAACAGTATAATATTAGCTCCCAAATCGTAGTGGAGTAGAAGTATAAAGCAGCATATTGTAAAAATACTCAATTGAAGGAAAAGTAAGGCAAGGCAAGGCAAGTTTATTTATATAGCACCTTTCAACACAAGGCAATTCAAGGTGCTTTACAAAAATGAAAGACATTCAGACAAAGGCATTTACAAACAGTAAAAGATAATAAAAGAAAGTACCCGAAATACGGACTTAAGTTAATACTTCTTTGAATGTACTTTACACTTCTGGAATACACCTATAGCTCTTAAACAAAAGGGGAAATGTGTCATTCTCGGCACATCATTTCAGTTGGTTGTGACTGATTGATTGATTGATTGATTGATTGATTGATTGATTGATTGATTGATTGATTTCTCCTCGGCTGCTAAAGGTCGTTTACCCGTTGATTTATTAGACTTGGCACTTACAGTTGTAGTCATGGCAACAGTTGCCATAGTATTGACAAGAGCTTGCGCAGGAACAGGTTCCCATGTTCCAGCCGCAGTTGTAACGACATGAGGACTGAGCTATGGGAAACAACATGTACTTTAAAGAGTGATAACTTTAAAAAAAAATTGAAATAAAACTACCTGAGTGAAATGAACAATACCTGTACGTGCTGTTGGTTCAGCTGTAGAAGAGCAGTAATCTGTAAAGCAGAAATATTAGATTGGTTAGTGTATCAGAATCAGATTCACACAATGTGTGTGCAAGGAATTTGACTCCTCATTTCTGTTGCTATCAATGTGCAAACAAAGAAATACAGGTCTTTGTTTTGCAGGTAAAACAAGGACAACAAATGTAAACAAGGTAAGTATAAACAGTTGAATATATACACAAATAAATATATTAATATAAAGTGTAAATATAAAAAATCACAAATGAAACGTTTTGTAGAGATAGGACAATGGTGAGATAGAGTAAACACATACACTTATATATACTTATGAACCTAAACCCCTATTTGTTGTTTTCTCTTATTAAATATATCAATGATTGTTTTGCTGGTTCACCCCAGTGATAGAAAAGGTATTTAGATCCTAACTCAAGCAAAAAGCAAACACATAAATAAACCTATGTTATAAATAAAAGTTCCAATAAGGGGCTTACCATAATAGTCTGGACAGCAGGTCCCATTGCTTCCACAGCTTGAAGAGCAAGAGCAGTTTCCAACATGGTTGCCACAGCTGTTTAGGCAGGAATCTGTGGAAAGAGCAGACAGAACAATCACCATCACTGAAAACACACAGTTAGGCTCTCAACATAATGTTATGTTTCATTGTTTACGTATGAGAACCATAAGGGTTATAACATGTGATCTGTGTCATTCTCCTACAGACAAAAACTAAACATTAAAAATGCTTTTAGTTTGTAGCCTAGTTAATTCTTAAATGATTTGGAAAGCAACACTTTGCTGCTTCATTAGTGTCATGAAGAGTGTCATCCTCCTTGTAAACAGTTACCTTTGTACCTGCAAGTTATTTAGAACTACATAATAAATCAGTTATTTTTTAGGTATAAATCAGAACCATGATCTGACATTATGCTGCTAATTTTGGTGGTAACCTTTTTACCTGTTTTAAATTATTGATTTAATTTTTTTACCTGGAGAACCTGTTGCCAGATTCTTTTCCTCACTGTTTTGGATCTGATCAGCACCTGATGAGAAAAACAAAGGAATGATTAACAACATCCATAAACCCTTAATCCAAAACCAAAGAGACACAAACAACAATAAGAAAATTATGCACAATACCTTGCACTCCAAGTGAGGCAATCACGCTGCAAAGAACCACAAGAGTCCACATGGCGAATTCCTTTACCTGCCAACCTGCTTCACATGCTGAACACTGCAGCTTATATAGGCAGACACCTTGACGTGGCACCCATAAAATGCCTGAAACCAACAACAGTGATACTGATTGATTACTCATTCATGGGAAAAACAGCACTTAGTTAACTATCATGAAGCGTACACAAAGATTGTTCACATTTGGTTTCAGGATGTGTTTAAGGATGTTTGCATTAGAAAAAACGTTCATCTTCACAAGGGCCTTTGGGAACTTACAGATGGGCAGATAATAAAATATCAAGTATGATCTTACATGTGTAGCTAACATCTGAAGATGTGTCACTGACTCTTGTAACTACACCAATCCTGCTGCATCAGTTGCATTGATTTTACTGTAACTGGAGATGTTAAAAACATTTTTATAAAAATGATAGTAAAATATTGATGTTGTTTCATTTATGTTAAATCTTTACAGAAATGTATATTTGTCCTGTCCTTTACATGCACACATGTAACACAAGTAATTTAACTTTATCTACATATGTTTTCTGGAAAATCATTTCAGCAGAAAGCCTTAGCTGTATTAATAGCAAATGTTAATGAATTGGCAATTGTTAGCATGCTGACTTGCTGAACAAACATGGTGAACAAAGTAAAAATACCTTTTATTTGCTGAAAGTCAACATTTTAAAATCATGTTGCATTTGTTTAATGCAACATTGTATTAATCTCTTATGGGTTGGATTGTATATATTATCCAATTATAAGGCGTATCTAAATTACAAATGAAAATATGAAACATCTCATTTAGTTATATATTATATTTGTGGTTGTATAAATCAAATATGATAAATTACCTTTTAAAATGTACAGCCATTTCATACTTTGCTTTCATCTATGATCATCAATTTTATTCTTCAAGTATAAACCTACAAAAACATTTTTTTAATGTGTTTATTTGGTAAATTGGGAATATTGGACTTAATATTTGTATCAATGAGTTGCTACACAAAAACACACTGTATGGTGAACGTGCAACATACAGTAGCGATGTGTCATTGGTTGAAACGAAGACAGAAGAAGAAGAAGCATGAATGTTCTTTATCAGTTTGACATTGTGAACAGTTAGTTGAGTGACCTTGAATACTTATCTGTCAAATTGTCAGCTTACAAGAAAGTCGTTCATTTTTGCTTTATAGACTATAACTTCCCGTTATAATAATTTACAATGTTTAAAAAGGATAAAACCGGGCTGTACAACACTAAACGTAACCAGTGTTTCTCTTTCTGGTGAGAAAAAACAGTGAACACTGTCCTGTTGAATCAGCTGTGTGTGCAGGATTTTCCTAATTTGAGTCACGGATGTGGCCTTTTAATATGGAACATTAGCTAAATATTAGCTAATATATTAGAAATCAGCTTAACCCTTATGTTGTGTTCGGGTCTCCCGTGACCCGTTTCATGTTAAAATTATATAATAACTAAGCTCTAGTTTTTTTTAACGGAAAAAGGCTTCATGATATCCTCCACAACAGCTATGTAAACACAAAAAAACTGATTTTGACAATTTTGACAAAAAATCAGCAGAATTGTTGTGGGTGACTCGGGTTCAAATGTGGCCCAATCAAAATGCATCTTTAACTTTAGACACCCCACCCCCACCCCCTTCATCCACTGTAACAATCATTTAAAACTTTTTTGGGGGAGATTGTGTTTTAATATTAGTCTATTATAGTCAGATAACGTAATGATCCACTGTCTTCACCATAGGAAATATAAGGAGTGAATTGAATCACATGTTTTACTTAAATATGTGGTGTAATGTTTTTTTGGGCCATCAAATACATTTACAACAGGATTGTACGGTTATGAATGCATTATAAGTTAGTTATGATGTAGTTAAAATAATATTGGATGATAGTCATTCTTTTTGTGTGTTTTGGACTGAGATAAATCATGGGTCAAAATGTACCCGCGAACACCATGAACGGTAACAGTTTTTGAACACAACACAAGGGTTAATAAACATGTTTATCAGCCGATAAAGAACCTCTGAGAGGTGCTTTCACTTTTACTAGAACTTGTTGGGCTTATTATCTTTAGAACTTACAACAGCTTCAGACGATAAATAGACACAGTACTTTTTTATGTGTACATGTTCATCAAATCCGATGTGTTCTCTCAGTTGCAGATGCTTATGAAGTATAACAAATGCCTATAAAATGTGTCATGATTCAATCAGTTGTTGTGTTTTAAATGGAATAAATACGGTGGCCGGCAGGTGCAAACGCGGAACAACGGCCCAAAACGCATACATAAGCAGGAAACACCTGCAAATAATTAAATGAAAAACAAACAAACCCTGAAAACAAATACAACAGAAAAACGCTGCATTTACAGAAATTATGCAAACTAAAGACAACACACAAACCCCGAAAACAAACGCAACAGAAAAACGCTGCAAATACCAAAACGATATCCAAAGTCAAAAGCACATACAAATCCCAATACACATTTTTTTTAAAAAAACATTCCCGAAGTGCTCCAGGCCTCTAGGGAGCGCGCTACGTGGAACAGATTGACTATGACCAGACATAGAGAGAACAAACAAGAGTGATGGAAATCGGGAGGAAAGAAAGTTCATTTAAAGGTGGGGTAGGTAATTTTGGAGAAACCAGCTCAAGTGCGCTAGAATTTGAAAATACACAGCCGGTGTCGGTACCATATCTGCAGGGGCGGTTCTAGGGGGGGGCAGGGGGGCCAGTGCCCCCTAACACTGGCCTCTGACCCCCCTGTGGCCCCCCTAAAAATGAAAAAATGATGATTTATTACCAGTGTTGGGCAAGTTACTTTTAAAAAGTAACTAGTAATAGTTATAGTTACTGCTCTCAAAAAAGTAACAAGTTACTTTATTAGTTACTAAATTATAAAAGTAACTAGTAACAAGTTACTTTACTTTAAAAATAATAACAATACAAATACAAGTGTTTGTGTTGTTCTGTGGCACAGTAAGAGAAAAGACAACTCCCCATCATTGTAGCATAATGGAAACATTACCATTATGGATAGATTACCGGCCCTCAAGCGAGTACTGCAAGACATAGCCCAAGAACGCAATGGTGAGAGATCTATTGAGGCACGTGGTCTGCTGGCACAGTTGGATCTATAATTCATTGTGCATCTTGTAACACTCCGTAAAGTGTTTGCAGAAACAACATTTCTCTCTGACATGTTACAGTCTTCATCCCCTGACCTTTCAAAGGCTGTGGATTTAGTTGGATCTTTAGTTCAGACATTGAATGACTTCAGGCAGGAGTCATTTTTTGATAACTTGTGGAATGAAGTGTTGAACATTTCTGAGCAATGTGATACCGCAATACAGCCAGCAGCAAAACGACAAAAACGACTGAGCTCTAAACTTGCTGAAAGCTTCGTACTGACTACTGTTGGATAGAGAGAGACAGAACAAGATACACACGGGTTTCGTACAGCCCTTTTCTACCCTGTCATTGATCAGATGCTCAATGAGCTTGATAGACAGTTTTCAAACACAAACTGTGACATGATGAATAGCATCCAAGCTCTTAACCCCAAAAGTGATGCATTTCTGAAGGAGACAACTCTGTTTTCATTTGCTCAGTTGTATGATGCAAATATTGAGGACTTGGGGCATGAGCTACATCAGTTCAGCAGAATGTTAGATAGGAAAATAAAGACTGGGATGCAGAGATCTGATAGTACAGTGGAGCTTGTTCAGTTCATTGAGCCTTATAAAGAAGTGTTTTTTGAGCTCTTCAGACTCTGCAAAATAACAGTCGCAATCCCAGTCAGTTCTGCTTCCTGTGAGCGTAGTTTTTCTACATTGAAGCTGGTCAAAACTTTTCTCAGATCCACCATAACTGATGAGAGACTGAGCAATCTGGGTCTGCTTAGTATTGAGTCAAGGAGGTCAAAGGCTTTGAATCTTGACTTATTTGTTGATCGGTTTGCCAAAAATCACAAAAACCGCAGGATTTTGTTGCTGTAATGTGACATTTTGGGAAGAAAACTACAGCCTGGGATGCAGACACCCTTATGTAAAGTAGAGATGTAACTGTTCATTGCCTTTATTTTTATATGTAAATCTGTCTGTTTTCCAGATATCACATTTATTAGAAATGTGACGGAATAGACGAAACTGATTAGTGCGCGTGCAGAACAGGTGTGCATTCTGTATTCAGTCTTCATGTTTGTTAAATAGCCTACGTGTCTGTGCTTATGGGAAATAATACATCTGAAATCTATGTTTTCTATCTATATGCATGTATTTTATTTCATTTAAAGTCAACATTTAAGATTTGTAGACTTTTACATTAAATCCTTTTCTGTGGATTTAAAAATGTATATTTTCTGGTACTCTTGTTGTGTAAACTTGTTGATCGGTTTGATAAAAACCGCAAGATTTTGTTGCTGTAATGTGAGATTTTGGGAAGGAAACAACAGCCTGGGATGCAGACACCCTTATGTAAAGTAGAGATGTAACTGTTCATTGCCTTTATTTTTATATAAATATGATGTTAGTGCAAAGATGGTACTATAACTTAAGCTGAAGCTAACAGTAATAACTATAAGATCTATCTGAAATAAATAAGTGTACTGAAACAAATACCAATAACTGTATTGCATTGTTTTCTTATGCCCAATTACTTCATACTGTCCAGTTCTCTTTTTCGTCCTGCATGTATTGTTTCCCCCTCAGAAAATAACTGGCCCCCCAGTGGCCCCCCCAGTGAAATTGGTATAGAACCGCCACTGCATATCTGCTCGGGGTACCATGGCCCTTTCTCATTTCATCAAATCCCCCTCCTCGACTCCTCGACTCCTCGGTCCTCCGGTAGTGACCCGGAAATGAATTTTAGCGCGCCATGTTGAAGGACATCTAATTTCTCTCAATGCACTTCGAGGACCGAGGATCGAGCGTCGAGGAGGCTCTCTGTAGGAGCTATAACCGAGGATACACTGATGGGTCCTCCACGGTCCTCCACGGCTCCTTCGTGGATGCACAGAACAGC